CCTGTAACCATTCCCAAATCCAACATACCCAGTGCTTTAGAACCACAGGAAACCTATTTCCATAATAGAAAGTTAACCTCCCTTGTAAGGTATTAACAGTTCCACAAGAACTAGTTTTCAACTTCATTCTCAGTCAAGTCTCAGATTTCTGTGGCAGTCTGAGAGGTGCTCATTCACTTACCTTAAATCTCAAATCCTCTCCCTAAGAGGGGACAGGAAGCCATGTGGGATAGACTACACTCCCCAGGCAAGAATTAGAGCCCAGAGCTCATTCCTTACACCAAAAGAAATTCTCACCAATTAACTCTCCCACTTTCCACCTGGTGCCCGCCCGCGAGAACCACAACTCTCAGGGACTACTGCCTTCTCCTCTAACTGAACATATTGCTAATGCTGACCTTGGCATTATTTGCTTTTAAATCTCTCCTCTGCCCAGGTGCAGTGGCTCAACTATAAACCCAGCACTTTGGGAGGCTGAGGAGGATCGCTTGAGCCCAGGACTTTGAGACTAGCCTGGGCAACATAGCAGGACTTCGTCTCTACAAAAAAATAAAAAACTTAGTTGGGCATGGTGGCATATACCTATAGTCCTTGCAACTCAGGAGGTTGAGGAGGATCACCTGAGCCCAGATGATCAAGGCTATGGTGGGCAATCATCGTGTCACTGCACTCTAACCTGGATGACAGTGAGACCCTAACTAAAAGAAAAAAAAGAAAAAAGAAAAAAAAAATTACCTCACTTCTGCTCAGAGCTTGCACTAGCAAGATATTCTGTTTGGAGTTCATTTCTGTTCTTGTCAAATAAAACAGACAGTACTTCTGTATTCAGGCTCCCAATATACAGAGTATACACAAGCTAAACTGCTTTTGGAACTGAATTTAGAAAGATTTCCATGCTATTATAAACATCTGTAAATAATAAAATAAAATGCAAAATTCACATGAAGTTTCAGGATCAGAAAATTTCACAGGTTTACACTGGGATCTTAGCTAACACACAAGGTTCCTCTGCTTTGAGGGATCTACTTACAGAAAAACAGCAATTGTGTTCAACAGGTCGACTTCCAAATTGGCTGTTTTATTACACTGGTGATACAGAAGGCTAAGCTTTGGAGAGAAGTCACTGGCCCCAGTACCGACTTTGTTCTGGGCCAAAGGGTGCGAACGGAGGCGCTGCATCTCACCCTGATGACTATCCCATCCTGCCCTGCAGCAAGAATTGTGCTTATTAGGAGTGAAGATCAAAGCCTGTGCTCGCCAATGAAGCTGCCACAGAAGGAAGCCCGCAGAGGCTCCCAGTCTCTTGGGCTCTAGTCCACTGAAGGCCAGGCCAGGCCAGCAATGGAACTGTCATGTGACCATTTATAAACTAGACCTGCCTAGGGATACACGAAAGCTTGAATGCTATTTATGAAGGGGAGTAGAATGTCAATATATAATGAGTGAAAGGATAGATAGTATATGAAAATCAGGGGCTTGGATGTTAAAGAGAATCTCAGGTGAACAGCTGCATCCTTGCCCATGATCTTACTACCCAAGTTAATAGTTCCCTCCTGGCTTGGTAAGATGGGATTGGAAAGCTGGAGAGGCTGACTTGTTAGCTCTTCTCTTGGGTTAAAATGTTACTAGCCGGCACAATGCATGGTTAATACTAACAGCAATTACACAAGCTGCATTTAATGAGTTCTTGGTGCCAGGCACCAAGAACATAGGACACAGACTTTCTCAACATCCTCAAGTAGTTCACAGTGGAACAGAAATGAACACACAGGCAAGTCCGTACTCTTAGCCAGTATGCCAATCTTCCCACAACAGGATTCTCTCTTCTTGAAAGTTTTTTGATCCCTTTTCTCTCTGGCTGTTAAGTGAAACAAACATGGGCTATGTGAAATGTCACAAGTTGCAGGTTCCTGAGTTAATTTTCCCTGTAAAAGGGAGTATTTTTAAAAACCAATTTAGCCTCAGCTTGTTCTTTTAATATTCACTGCACTCCAGTGGTTGGCAAGATCGGTGCAGAGCTGAGGAGTAAGGTAGTCATAGCAGCATGTAGTTGTAAATTAGCTGTACCGAGGAGAATGTCTTCCTCATGCTGAGTTTGCTTACAAATTGCCCATGGGACAAGCCCAAGAGAAAAGTCTCTTCTGTCTTTATTCTGAAGACTGGTCAGTCCCTTTTCCTTTCTGGCTACCCACAGAAGAGACATCCAAGTGTTGAATGTGTTTTCTTAATAAAGCTGTCCTCAAGTAGTCTGTGCCCTCACTGGCCCTGAAGAAGGTTCTAGGACCAGAAGAGCTTCTTAGATTCTCCGAAGGGCCTTTCACCATGCTCCCTTCACACTGTCTAATAGCAACTGAGTGACATACCCTGGCCAGGCCTGCTTACATTTCACTCCAGCAGCCTTTGATTTGACTGAAACCTCAGCAAGGGGATCACAAGAAACAGCAATCAATCAACAGAGAAACAAGGCCCAGTTCAACTGAGGGAGCTGTGAGGGAAATGGAAATTAACTAGCTACAGACCTATGACCATCAAAAACCAAGTGTATGAAAGAAAAAATCATCCTAAAAAGAGATAGGAAAAGAATCCTTCTCAGAAATGCTTTAGAAAAGATGAAATCTGTTACTTTATTCTATCACTCTAAAGTACATGGAATTATTACTGTCCAAGTGGTTGCCATAAAGAGGTTAAAGTGGCAAGTCGTCTTCCTGATGAACACAAGTTTTCTCTTTCATATTCATTAGAAAATGTATTTTAAATGAATTTCCATTTTTAACCACTCTACTGACATAACACAGCACATTTCACATTCTTTCAATTAAAAGGAGGTTGTCAACCAGACTGAATAAAATTGTATCCTTTTGGTCTTTTATAATTTATGGAAACTTTTAAAGTATAAAGTGTAACACAGAAGTTGACTGATTGAGCTTTCTGACTGATTGAAAAACAAGTACAATATAGGAAGAATGAAAGATTTCACTTTAATCTAATTAAAAGTCAAGAATAAAGACTCTGGACAATATTTCTTTAATTTCCCAAATATCACGTATTCTCCTACTTTTCTTTCACTCACTTTTGACAATCATATAATACACTTGTTCTGAAAAAGCATCCGTGATTACAAATAAAAAATATGCACCCATAAGCCCTAAAGCACCATTTAAAATACTATATTAATAATTTTAATTTCTGATTTTAATGAATTCTTAACATTAAATGAGCACTGTTTCATGTACAATGCTGATTTTTAAGAGATCTGAAAATGAAATGTAGTAAAGTTATTGCTTTCAGAATTAAGTTGGCACAATCTACACAAGATATAATCAAAAAGCAAAACACACCAAAGCAGTTACACAATCAATCCTTATCCCTTCTTTTGACATTTTTAAATTAACATTTAAAAAGCTATCCTTACAATTTTAGTAAAAGAGATGTCCTGTCACCTAGATACCTAAATTCTAGACACGGTAAGACACTTCAAGAATATTACTGTGTTTAACCACAGCAATAATTTAACTTTTCGCATGTTAAGCAGTGTAATAAATGCTTGAAAAACCTTGAGGTCAAGTTCTGTAGGTATATTACTTTGCCAGACAATACCAAAAAAATCACAATGCAAAACCAAGAGTATTTATTTTCATTATTTAAAAAAATGCAACATTTATTTCACAATCCCTGGAACTGTAAAAGAGTTATTCTTTTAATTGACAGAGTCAAAGGAAGTATTTGAAATGTCAAAATACATATGCTGAATGTGATTTAGCATATAAGCACCAAAAATCCAAAAAGTTTACAAAAATTGTTTAAACATATAAGGTGCATGTATTCATGAATTACATTCGGTTTGAGGGAAGAGACAGTACCCCAAAGTTCATAAATATTTAAGAAATATCTGTATAGTTTCCAACTTTATTTATAGCTAAATAACAAATACTGCTTTCAGGTTTCTTTACACATCGATCTTAAACTTAGGTTCAAAATTTAAGTGCTGTCATACTGGGAATGGCAGTTTAATCACATTTGTTTATATTTCAGTTTAAGATACTTCATACAAGTATTTAATGCCCTAAAAACTTTTGTTTAAAAACAGTCATTTAGTGAACACCTGAAGCTAACAAAAAAGTTAGATCTCAGCCAGGCTCGATGGCTTAACCTGTAATCCCAGCGTTTTGGGAGGCCGAGGTGAGTGGATAGCCTGAGCCTGTGGGTTCAAGACCCACCTGGGCAACTTGGCGAGACCTCATCTCTACAATAAATCAAAAATTAGCCAGTCGTGGTAGTGCGTGCCTGTAGTTCCAGCTACTTGGAAGGCTGAGGCAGAAGGATGAGGGAGCGGCCACTGCACTCCAGTCTGGGTGACAGAGTGAGACTCCAACTCAAAAAAAAAAAAAAAGTTAGATCTCCTACATTTTTATGTAGAATTGAGTATTGAGTTGTTTGGAGTCAAATAAAATTGTTTTTTAAATGTTATCAATCCACCCTATAATTATAATTTTTCTAAGTATGCCAGTATAGCTTTGAGCAATAATTGCTATTATGAAGTTAGATAAAGTAAATACAAAATTAATTTCTTGGTTTACAAATCAAAATCATTGTCTTTCCAAACCACTTGGTCAATGCTGATAACAACTAAATAAGGAAAACATTTGCTAATATTGCTCTAAAAATAATGACTTAGCTGTCCTGAATGGCAAATTAGGTTAGGGAAGGGACTTGACTTGGCAATCCAGTTCTGTGGAGGTGCCACCTCAGCCTCACTCTAAATAGCTTATACAAAATGGAGTTATTCACATTGCTAACACAAATCCAGCAAGCGATGGTCCTGAATGCCATCTACATTTATTTATTTACTCTTTACTGTGTATATTTAAAAAAGAATTTTGTTGTGCTTTTCACATATCTAAGTTTTCATATCAAACATTTAACTTCTTGGTTTCTTGGAAAGGGAAGGGAAAGACTAAGAAAACAGTACAGCAAGAGAGTCGGACTGTAAAGCAACAGTACACACAACTAGCCAAATCTCTTTAATTTAAAGGATAATGTCATCACAAGGCAACATAGACATGTATAAAAGAAAATAAAGTCTCTTCCCCAAAATCCATATTATTCCGTGACAGATTTTCACAGCAACCAATATATATATCAATATATTTTTCACAATCTGTTCAGTTATCCATTGAGTATGCTTTTAGAATTAAAATGTCATTACCAAAGCAGTCTAAACATTGTACTTTTAGGGAAATGTGCTTAGAGATGGTTCAATGATTTGCTCATGATGATGACTATTTACAACACTATCTAGTTATGTTAGCAATAAATAATCCTGATATCAAAAGAGATAATAATGCTCATGCACACACCAAGATGGCTGCATGCTCTTAAAATATTTACACGTAGTTTCTCTTTTACAGCTCTCCTGTTAACAGTGAAAGTGCGCATTCTTCCATTTCCTCCTCATTTCCGTTAGTCTTGCTTCTGGGGGATGCACCCTTCCATTTCTACAACTTCAGGCCATCCTTCATACTTGTTTGTATCCTTGTTGTTCTTTATGTGCTATTGGAACACGATAATAGTATAAAATAGTTTAAAAATCTTTGTGAACTGAATGAAGATTTGCAACGGCATACTTTACTCACTTTCTTTTCAGTAACACTCATATCAACGAAGAGTTCATATAAATTATTGTTGAAGATACTAACGAGTGACCCTCAGGGTCTGTCGTATACATCGCAGAACTTTAAATAAGAGCTGAAATAACAAAACACTGCAGACATTTTTAAAGGATTTTTGGTTAGTTAAAAAGTAAAGTTTAAGCCGGGCTCGGTGGCTCAGTCTGTAATCCTGTGCCTTTGGGAGGCTGAGGTGAGTGGATTGCCTGAGCCCGCAGGTTCGAGACCTGCCTGGGCAATTTGGCAAGACCTTATCTCTACAATAAATCAAAAAAATCAGCCGGGCGTGGTAGCGCATGCCTGTAATTACTTGGAAGGCGAGGCGGAAGGATCGCCGGAACCCAGCAGGTTGAGGCTGCGGTGGCCGGGAGCAGCCACTGCACTCCAGTCTGGGCGACAGAGTGAGACTCCAACTCAAAAAAAAAAAAAAAAAAAGTAAAGTTTATATTCTATTAAGTTCTAAAGTATTTCCAAACTTACCTGATTCTAATATCCAAAACTCAGTTAAAATCCTTAATAACTAATGCTTCCAAAAAGCTTAAGATAAAGAAATATTCCAATGCATTGTTATATAGGAAAAAAAAATTCCCATGTAGAATTTTTTCTTTTTACTAGTTGTTCCTCCTTTTTTTTCCCCATGCAGAATTTTTAAGTTCATTTTTAAGTTTTGAAATTTAAAAAGTATGATGATTATATCAAATAACTAATTACCAAGAATTCATGACAAATATATGAACATGTTTAATATTCTGCCTATGCTGGGATGTGAATAAGATTTCATACAATTTGTTTTTATTAATTATGAGAGTCAAAGACACTAACCTGTTCAAAAGGGCTTTTTGTCTTAATGCCCTTCCCACCACAGAAGACCCAGTTGTCTCTAAAACCAAGATTATTAATAGATGTACTCCCCAATTCAGCAATGAGCCGCCGGGCCTCATCGTTGAGCCTTAAAGAGGAAGAGAAAGAATACACCAATCAGCACAGGGTACCTACTGTATACTATCTAACTAATAGTGACTCACCTAGGATATTTAACATGTAACACGAGATACAATGAGAATGAATATTTGGCTTAAATAGGAAAACATCTTCCTACTATTTGAATTCTTTAGTGACAAAAGACATGAAATCCAGCAGTTAATTTTAAATTTATTCTGTTAGAAGCTATCTTTTAGAGGTCTTTATTTCACAACAATAATTTACCTACACTTAATTATTTTAACTACAACCATCAAATAAATAAGGGGTACTGAGTTAACAGATGCCTACCCAGGCTAATTCAAGGTCTTACGCAACAAATATCTTTGTAAAATTAATAATCATTTTGAATCTCCACTAAATTCCTTTGTAAATTACATTTTATCAGAATAATGGTAAATGCTGACAGAAATCTGGATGTTTCCAACACTATATTTTATTAAAAGAATATGAATTTTGAGAAAGGGGATATAAACTGTGCTTCAGTGATAACTGCCAAGTGGTTACTTAATAAAAATGAAAATATTAACCACATAGTAGCTAAATATCTACTAGCAGGAGAAAGAGCAGTGACAAAAATTAGCCACTAGGAAAACTGCTCATTGAAAGATGTCATTAAAACATTTTGTGTAAGTTATCATCCTAATGTTGAGCGATTTTTCTCTCCTTTATCACACATAGGGGAAAGGAAATTCATTAGATAAATGCTAGTTGTAGAACTAAAAACAGAAATAAAAGATAACTACAGGTGAAGTTTGTTCTGCTAGAACCTGAGGCAAGGCAAGTTTTATATTTGCAAATAGCAGGAAAGTCGGTGAGGAAGGCCCTTAAGTCATTCCACAGTGTTTTTTTAAACATCTCCTTTAATATAGTAACAAAAGAAACACTAAGTAGAATGGTTTTCATTTAACTAATCTGAGGATAAATGGGATAATTTATCTTTTAAAAAGCTTTAGGAAACAGGAAAGAACTACATCTATCATTAAACTTTCACGTTTTTTGCAAACCGCATCTATGGGGCAGTGGAGCTGTTTCAGCCACAGAATGGGCACTGCTGTCCACCTGAAGGAAATTCACTAGAATCAGCAAGAAAAGAAGCTTTTGCCTGTGGAACATGTAGCCCTTCAGACGCACCTCTACATAAAGGCATGCACTATAACCAACTGAATTCAAAAAAGTGCAATGTCTCTGTGCAGAGGAACCAGACAAGTTTCAGCCTCTGTGGAGACTGTGAGACCTAGCCGTGGGATCCGTGCCTATGCTTCCTGCTTTCTCCTCACTGTTCCTCTGGAGCCCTGTCTCCTGTGCCCACCCTCACGTGAATCAGCCATCACTCTTCATTTGTTTGCTCATGTGATAAGTAACTTTTGTGCCAGAGGGAAACCTCCCCCCTAAATGTACTACCTGAACCCTGTTTTCTTGTTTCCAAATGCTGTTGGGATGTCATGGATCTGGAAGATTGTCAAATTCTACTTGCACAGTTTATCAAAATGTTCTATTTCCTGGCTACCTTCTTAGAAGTGTACACTTACATCATCAGCACTAGAGGATAAGTTCTGCTGCTCTAACAAGAAGAAAGGTACTGAAATGCAGAGGGCAGGCTCTCTGGTCATCTAAGTGGATTGCTACCTGCAGAGAGGCTTTGGGGTTCCACTCACATTTACATCTCAAAAAAGTTACAAACTTGCCCCTCACAGGCCTTTAGGGAAGCTCATAAATAGCTAAAGCAATGAATATTAAGCTCGCAAATGACAAAATACTGATTTATACTCAAAACTGCCTACAGCGTGTGTGGTTATTCAAATGCAGGTTTAGTCCCTGGAAAAAGTAAACTTTTTCTTTTTTAAGAGTTTGGCATCAACTAAGAAATAGATTGAAGAAGTGTCAGTCATTCTTACTTCTGTACTTTTTTTTTTTTAGTTGGAGTCTCACTCCGTCGCCCAGGCTGGAGTGCAGTGACACGCTCACGGCCACCCCAGTGCTGATCTGTTAGGCTCCGGTGACTCTTCCGCCTCAGCCTTCCACATAGCCAGAACTACAGGTGTGTGGTACCATACCCAGCTAATTTTTGATTTATTGTAGAGACTAAGTCTCACCAAGTTGCCTGGGATGGTTTCGAACCCGTGGGCTCAGGCAATTCACTCACCTCGGCCTCCCAAAGTGCTGGGATTATAGGCTGAGCCACCGAGTTCGGCCTACTTCTGTACTTTTGAGTTTCAGAAGTGATCATAATGATCTGTATGAATAAACCAAACTGATGCAGCCACAGAGCTGGAAGTAACTTGAAGATTTAACTTTATGTTCTCACTTTATTAATCTTTTTCCTTACTTTTCCATGAGACCACCCTGAGTTTGCATGCTTGAAAAGGCCTGCTAGCAAGCCTGACCCTTGCCAACATCTGGACACCTGAATTTGGGGAGGGCTCCCGCCATTTTTAGAGTGCACATTTCAGTGTGCACAAACAGTGCAACTTACACCAAACATTTGTGTTTTCTGTCTGGGAGTCTGAAATTTGGGGACAGGTTAGGCAGGGGTGCCTATGTGAACAGCCCCCACCCCCAAAAAAACCCCTAGGCATTGAGTCTCTAAAAAGTTTCCTTGTAAACACTTCCCATACACTGTCATAAATTGTTGCTGGAAGAATTAAACACATGCTGTTTGACCTCACTTGGAAGAGGACTACTGAAAACGTGGGCCCATTATCTCTAAGCATTGACAAAACTTTTCCCTTTGGTGATTTTCTTTTGTATCTTATTACTGTAACAAATCATAGCCATGAGTCCTATTAGAGAATCATCAAAACAGAAAGTGGTTTGGGGGACACCTGACACATTTCTCTCTATATATCTAAATATAGTATTATAACAAGATGACTTTCTCAGTAACTTCTGAAGCTTTCTGATCTGCTTACGTAGAGTTTGGTAGATTATTTCTTTCGGAGCTTCTATTTAAGTGAAAACAATTTCATTTTTCAAAAAGACGTTTAAAACCATGCAACACAGTCAATATAAATACATAGGCGGTATCAAAATGTCGCATTTCTTTAAAAGCCAAATTAATACATACTTATATACGGCATAAAGTTTGTAGATAAAAGTTTCTTATTCTACATAGGAGTATGAATTTGTTGCACATATTTTGACTTTTACTAATGGTCTTAAAATGCTGAGTTGTTTACATTTGTGTTAAATGAGTTGTTTTAGTGAAGAATTTAATTTCAAACAAAAAGAAAGTATCCTGTGATAAACCAGGAGACAGAGAGCAGGATCAAGTCTTGCCAGAAGACCTAGTGCTGCACAGGCAATCTGCAGTGATGGAGGAAGTGGGGACTGCGACAGAGTCTCTGGGTTCTGCCTCAACCCTTGCTAAAAAGGAGGCACATCAGACAATCCTACAGTCACACCATCAAACCAAGACAAAGATCCATTTCTGGAAGTGCGAAAAGCAACAAGTTCAGCTAATATTCTGGGCTCAGTAGGGAAGAGCCAGGTAGGAAGCAGAAGTGTCAGGAACTTTGGAAGAAAATCGCCATATTACCTCAGGACTTTGAAGAATAAGAAAAGCTAAATATATGCAGTGTAAATGGCCACATAGCCTAGACTCGGAAGGGAGTATTACCAAAAGTCCAGATAGAAATTCCATTGCGGGAATATGACTCTTTAAAAATAAGGCAGGTCAACTGCAGTGGCTCATGCCTGTAATCTCAGCACTTTGGGAGGCCAACACAGGAAGACTACTTAAGCTCAGAAGTTTTTAGACCAGCCTAAGCAATAAAGCGGGACCTTGTTTCTACAAAAAAATTAAAAAATAAACTGGGCATGGTGGCATGCACCTATAGTCACAGCTACTGAGGAGGCTGAGGTGGAAGGAATCCCCTGAGCCCAAGAAGTCGAGGTGGCAGTGAGCTATGATCGTGCCACTGCACTCCAGCCTAGGCAATAGAATGAGACCCTGACTAAAAAGCAGACAAACAAACAAAAAATAACAACAAACTCAATAATTTTCACTATACATTGCTAACAATCCCAGAAGATAAGGAGGATGCTTTCTAAATGAGTGATAACCATAGAAGTGTTCTATGATGGGCTCAAGCTTAAAAAGAAAAGCATGCAAAAATATAAGACAAACCACATCACAAATGACAAAACTTGGAACACTACTATCAGGAAGACCTGTAGTACTAAAAATGAGATGTGACTCATAAAGCTATTAGAGGCCACAGAAAAAACTTTTGCTACTAAGTGTGACTAACAAAGGGATCCACTGTTTCATAAGAAGAGTGAGATACTATCATCAGATCAAAGCACAATTGTCTTTTCCAGGGAAGCAAACATTTCTTGATCAACATAAAGAGGGAACAGTAGCTCAATAAAGTCCACGTAAGTGTTCTGAAGTAAATCTAAGTTCCCAACCCCTCTTCCCCCCAACACACACACACACACACACACACACACACACTAAAAGAACTTGATATAATCTTCAAGGTAGTGTCAGTTACTTTAGAAACATCATGGAAAATGGAGATGCTAAGACACTGAAAGCTAAATATTCTAGTTTTCAAAAACATAAAAATTTTAGAAGACATGGTCTCATAAAACTAATTCCAATTCCTAGCCAAATTCTAGATAGAATGACAACAATGATCCTATGAGCATTAAAAAGCAAAAAGGAAAGAAAGGAGGAAGAATGGGAAGGGGAGAAGAGTAAGTATGGTGGAAACAGGGTTATCTCAGCAATTTCAGCTTTTGTAGAGGTTTCTGGGCAATAGATCTGGGTACTATATAATTAGCATAGTCTAGGAATGTCAAGTGAGCATCTGATAATCTCAGAAAATAACATCCAGGAATAAAATAATGAAACAGCAGCTGAATGCTATGCCTATTAAAGATATATTAGAGCTATGTGAAAAGTAGTTTCTGCAATTGATTAGTAGATTAATCCTGGGAGGAGGGCCCAAGCAGGGTGGA